ACACACTGTGTACACACACTCACACTGTTACACACTGTGTACACACCTGCACACCTGCCTTCTGAGACATTAGACAGCAGCAGCACACTCCTTGCAGCTCCCCCCTCCCCGCCCCCAGCCAGGACTTCGAGGACACCTGTGCACACCTGTCTGCTTGCATCAGGGTTCCGGGTTCTGCCCCCCTTCTCGGGGCAGTGTTGGGTCCTGGGCCACCTGTCTGTCGCCTACCCTGAGGCCGCCTGCCGTGGCTGCCAGGCTGACTGGCAGTTCTGTGAGGTGGTGGAGAGCAGGACTGGCCTGGCCCCTTCCCATGCGCAAGGGATCACCCAGGGGGCCTTTGTTCTCCATCTCTCAGATGCTGCCAGTTACGAGGGTTCCAGTGTATGAGGAGGGTCAGAGAAAGTTCCTCCCCTGGACCCTTCCTCACGCCAGCCCAGCTGGCGGGGACACTTGCTCTCTAGGCCCACCGTTGGCTGTGCCCCATTAACTTTTATCACATGAGGCAGAAGTGCTCTCATGTGGACTCAGAAGTGCAGGGACGTGGACACTGAGCATCCTGTTCCCATCAACATCCACAAAGGAGGCGGGGACAGAGTGAGAGAGAGAAAAGAAGTAAGAAGAGCATGCGTGTTCAGTGCCCGGCTCCTGCAAGCTTGCCTGGACCTAGGTCCACCACCAAGGCCTGCGTTTTCCTTAGAGAAGAATCTCTAAATGCAGGGCTGTCTCTGTATCAGGGCCTAGCTTTCTCCCGGGAGGGGAGAGTCCACAGTGGCCGCTTGTCAAGGTGGAACTCAGCATGGTCCCCCATGTCTGTGAGGAATTGCTAACAAGCGTCCCTTCTGTTTCCAATCCAGAGAGTTTAGAAAGAACGGCATGATCGGACTTTCGGATTTCTTCAATACCAAGAGGAAAATATAAATAAAGTCAAAAAGAGCCCTCAGAAGACAAAGGCCATAAATACAGAGAAAACGGCATTTAAAAGTCAAAGCCACGCTTTTGAAACCCCGGCACCAAATACATCTTGTCCCAAGCCCAGTGTGTATGCAGTGTGAGTCTTTATCCCAACAGGACCCTCAGGGCTTCCCAGGGCTGGGCGGTCAGTTCCTGCTGCTGCCCTGTCCCTGTGCACACCTCACCTGTAGTATCGCAGTCAGGGGCTGTCGGGTAGGGGCTAACGTCATCTTTCTCTTCATTCCAACTGGGACCCGCAGGGACACACAGGCACCTGTCCACTTGGACAGGGACAGAAAGGTGCTGATGACTCCCATGGATAGGTGGATAGGTGGGTGAATGGATGGATAGATGAATGGTGGATGGTTAGTGAGTAATGGATAGGTGGGTGGGTGGTTAATTGATTGGCTAAATGATTAGAGGTGATTGATGGATTGTGGATGGACTGATGGATGGATGAATGGTGACTATATATTGATAGGCAGATAGGTGACTGTTAAGTGGGTGATGGATGAAGGATGCATGAATGATGGCTGGCTGGTGGGTAGTGAAGAGGTGAATGGATGTTGGCCTGGAGAATTAGGTGGCTGATGAATAGATGGTCAAGTGACAGGGATAGGAACCTGGACACCACCAGGTCTTTCTGATTCCAGGGCCTGTCCAGGACCACTGAGGTCCTCTATGTGGTGGGATAAATCAAGAACAACACACACACATACATTTAAATGTATTGTGGTGAAATAGATATAATAAAACATTTC